AAAAAAAAAAAAAAAAAAAAAAGTCTATCCATGTTGTAGCATGTATCAGCACTTCATTCGTTTTTATTGCTGAATAATATTTCTTTGTATGAATGTATTCTATTTTATTTATCCATTCATCAGTTGATGGGCAGTTGGGTAGTTTCCAGCTTTTGGTTATTGTGAATAGTGCTACGTGAACGTTTTGCATGCAAGTTTTTGTTTGCACACCTGTTTTTAGTTCTTTTGGGAATATAGCCATGAGTGGAATTACTGACTCATATGGTAATCTTATTTCGTATTTTGAGGAATAGTCAAATTGTTTCCATGGCAGCTGCACTAGTTTACATTCCCACTAATAATGTATGAGGGCTCCAATTTTTTTTTTACATCCTTGCCAATACTTCTTTTCTCTCTCTCTTTTTCTTTCTTTCTTTCTCTTTCTTTCTTTCTTCTTTCTTTCTTTCTTTTCTTTCCTTTTCCTTCCTTCCTTCCTTTCTTTTTTATTCTAGCCGTCATAGTGGGTGTTAAAGACCTTAAAGGCCACTTTGATTAAGTCTCTGGGAGGTTTGAGAGCCATCTTCTAGTTTTTTAAGTTCCTTTCAGATAGTGGGGGCTGACTGAAAATGAAGTATAAATGAGTAGGTGGATTCTGCCCTCACCAGTCAACAGCCTTTAGGGCAGCTTTATCCATGCCAGCTAGGAGGCAAGTTGCCTGATAATCCCAATTGGGGTCAGTTCTGGGGACAGCTAGAGTCTCTATTGGGTTATGGGCAGCATCTTGTCGGTGGAGGGTGTTTGCATGGGCCTGAGTGGCTGTCTGGTTAGGCTCCCTGTCCTCCGGGATGAGGGAGGAGGAGAGAATGACATAAATGTCATGCCAGGCAAGGTCATAAGATTGAGTGGTACACAGAAATTCCTTTCGGAAGGAGGTGGGGTCCGTGGAAAAGGAGCCGAGTCTCTTTTTAAGCTGGGAGAGGTCGGCTAGGGAGAAGGGAACATGAACTTGGACTATGCCTTTGGCCCTGCCACCTTTACCAGGGAAAGGACTTTTGAAGACCTTTGGGTGTGGGAGTGGCCTTTGGCAAAAGGGGGTTGGGAGCAAGACCCAGTAGGCATTGGAGACTGAGTGGGGAGATGGAGGATAAGGGGGTGGGGGAGCGGAGCTGAAGCAGAAGGAAAAGGTATAAAGGAATGGCGGTGGGAGGGGCACTGAGAGGGGGGTTTGTTGGCAGGGTTGAAATCAGTGGAGGAAGGCTTGTCTGGAGTTGTGAGGTGGTATCTGTGCCTTAATTTGCATTTTCTAATGACTAATAATGACTAAACACTTCTCATGTGTTTGTTGGCCATCTGTATATCCCCTTTGGAAAAATGTCGATTTAAGTCCTGTGCTCATTTTTAAATTGGGTTGTTTGTCTTTTTGTTGTTGAGCTGAAAGTGTTTGTTATAAATTTCTGGATACCAGACCTTTATTAGATATTTTTTTTTTCTTTATTAGATATTTGATTTGCAAATATTTTCTCCCATTTTGTGGATTCCCTCCCCACAATTTTCTTCATAGTGTTCTTTGATGCAGAAAAGTTTTTAATTTTTTTTTTTGAGACAGATGTTATTGTGTTGCCCAGGCTGGAGTGTAGTAGTGCCATCACAGCTCACTGCAGCCTTGACCTCCCAAGATGGGTTCTTGTTACATTGCCTAGGTTGATCTTGAACTCCTGGGTTCAAGCAATCCTCCTGTGTTGACCTCCCAAAGTACTGGGAGTACAGATGTTAGCCACTGCAACTTGCTAATTTTTTTTTTTTTAATAGTGATGGGGTCTCACTATGTTGCCTCAGCTTGTCTTGAGCTCCTGACCTCTAGTGATTGTCCTGCCTTGGGCTCCTAAAATGTTGAGATTACAGGTATGAGCCACTGTGCTCAGCCTAGTTCTTAATTTTGATGAAATGCAGTGTTTTTTTCTTTTGTTGCTTGTGCTTTTGGTATTATGGAATTTTAAATATTTTCACTTGGACAAGATCAATGGCTAGGAAGAAAGAAGGATCTGAGGGGAAGGGAGATGGGGATGGCTTGAGATTTCTATCTCCAGTTCAATCAGAAGATTTCAGCATGTAACTGCTTTATATAAGGTTTTGCAGCTTTATGTATATGTGGCCAATAGATTAGAACTACTGAATTGTGTTTCTGAAACTTTAACCATTAAATATTATTGGGAAACATCAGTGTGTCAGGTTGTCTTTCTAAAAGCCAGTCCTAAATGGTATAGGTAGTAATTAGAAGTTAATGTTTTCTGGTTTCAATTAAGTATTATTTGTAACAAAGAGAAAGCATACATTTTTGGGAAAGCCTGCTATTTTCTTTTGTTCCACTGGCCACACCTTTGGGAAGTCAGGATATTTCCCCCAGATCCAAACCCACTGTCTACCTGGCAGCAGCTCATCCTCACTGAAGGAATGTTCCATGGAAAAGATAGCCAACCTTATGCATTTCAGCCCTGGACCAAATGCTGCATTTGCCTGAGGTCACCCAGCAAGCTAAGTGGAAGTTTCAAGCCAGGTTTTCTCATTTTAAATCTAAAGCTGTGTCTCTAGGCCTTGTATCCAACATAAAATCAGGGCTGTATGACTGGCACTACTGCAACTCACTGTTACCATTTTTTGAGGTCTTCTACATGCCAGGTATTGTCCTGGCAATCTCATCTTCCCAACGACTCAGTAAATGGTTCCATAATTATCCTCATTTTACCACTGAACAAACTGAACTCGGGTTAAATAATTTGCCCAAGGTCACACAGAGTTTTACTCTCAAGAGCTCAGACTTTGACTCGAAAGCCCATACTCTGAATCACCAAGCAAGACTTTAAAGGTGACCAGGTCCTGAGATATGATCTCATCAGCACAGACCCTTCTCCTAGCTGACAAGTGAGCAGGTAAGTAGGTGGGTACTCCTGGCTGTGCGCATGCCCAGACTCCGCCCAGCGCCCCTGCCGGCCACCCCGGTCCCCTTAACTGCGCAGGCGCTCTCACTCCGAAAGGCCGCTGGGTGAGCGCAGAGGCGGTGCAGGGCGGCGGACTCGCCTAGGCGCGCCGAGCGTGTGCGTGGGGTTGCGAGCTACGTCCTCGGAGGGGGTCGGAGATGGCGGCGGCCGACGGGGCTTCGTCGGAGGCGGCGGCTTCAGAGCAACCCGCGGAGCTGCCTGCCTCGGTGCGGGCGAGTATCGAGCGGAAGCGGCAGCGGGCGCTGATGCTGCGCCAGGCCCGGCTGGCTGCTCGGCCCTACCCGGCGTCTGCGGCTGCGGCTACTGGAGGTTTGGGCCGCGGCGGCGCTTCCCCCTTCCCTCTCCCCGCCTCCCTGGTCCCCAGACTGGCTCGCGCAAGCCGAGTGCCGGGGTCCGGGGTCGCGTCAGCTCCGCTGGCGTCTGGGCTCAGATTCTCCCCCAGTCGGGGAGGGAATCCGCCCAGCTGGCTTGTCAAAGCGTTCTGTCTACGACCACAGAGCGTTCCGCGGTCGCACCTGGGCCTCCTGAGCCCCAATCCCGGACCTTCCTCGCTGCACCTCGGCTGCTCGGCTTCGGCTTTTCGTTTAGGGATGCAGCCGCCCCCGCCGAGAGGTGCCAGCCAGTGCCAGGTGTCAGAACCTCAGCTGTCCCAGAAAGAGGAGTTAGACTAGTTCTTGGTTCTGAGCGATATACCTAGAACTAGTTGATGGAAGAGGCAGATCTTGGTGTTCGTTAGGGAGAACTTTCAACATTTGTAGTTGCCAAAAGTGCAATGGATTGCTTCTCGTGAGCGTCCCATTACTAGAAGCGCTCAAATAGGAACTGGAAGAACCCTTACTTATATGGAGGAGAGGAAATTTCAGCAATCAGAAGAAGGGACTGGATAGTAAACCTTTAAGATTCTAATCCCTGGATTCCATGAGTCTTTCTTGGACGTGCGACCTTGGCAAAAAGTAGATGCTCAAAACGTGTTTATTGAAGTAAATTAAGGACTGATCTCTCATTGCGAATTATTCTTTTATAGAATTTGTCACTGGGTCAACTAAATTTTTTTCAGGGTACTTGAAATATGGTTTGGTTGACAGGCAGTTCTTCAGGATTACCTCTGTAACATGAGGTACATGTGTTGCGAAAGTTCTGTACTGTACTGTGTCGAGCACAGTTTAGAGCTGTATTGTCTCTTACTGTTTTTTATCAGCCAGAAGTAGTGAGAGTGAGAAGAGTCTGAGGCTGGCAGCATATCTTGATATTCATACTAACACCGAAATTGCAAATTCTGGCTACTTTTGGTGGTACTGGTCTCATCCTTTGTGCTTTGTAGTGGTTTTCTTTTATTCTTTTCTCAGCTTGAGGCACGCTAGAGTCTGACAGAAAGTTCATTTGCCCTGATTAATTCATATTCATGATTCCATAAAGGTTTCCAGGTTTATACTTCATGGCTGTGGAACAGAAGGTACAACATAGCAAAAACTGACATTAAATTAAACTTTTGAACATGGAAAGCAAGGTAGAATGAACATTCTGTAAGATTTCTTAGGCAGTTCCCCAAGAACTGAACTGTATTGTAGCATTGGGTACAACCCACCGTGTTTCAAGAGTTACATAAGTGCCGGGATTTTTATCTTTGTGGTACTTTTATTTCATGGTACTATACGATTTTCTTCTTCTCTGTGTGCCATGACATATGCCATGAAAGAGACTGAAAAAAACTTGCTTAGAATATGAAGAATGGTGGTAAGGTCCTGGGGAAACAGCAAGGCATAGCAGCAGAGAGAAATTGGGCTTTGTTTTGGGCATGAGTTAGCATTGTTTAGGATCCTGCTCAGGTCATGGCCTTGACTACTCCAGCTTTCCCTGTTCTTAATTCTCATTGTGCTTACTGGCATTCCATTCATTTGCCTTGCTTTTTATATTACATATTCCGGTACATTCATTCATTTCTGTCCATCCAGTTGGTACGCATGGAATGTTTACTCGGAATTACACAGGTAAAGGCACTCAGTCTAATGAAGGGATACAGAGATACAAACAGGTGTTATAGTGTGAGATACGAACAGGTGTTATAGTGCTATTAACAGTGGAAACAGGCTTATAATCTAATCCTTTCATTTAATAGGGGGAGAAATTGAGGCCAGAGAAGGAGAGTGACTTTAGCAGAATAAAACATATTGTCTTTTTAAATAAAGGGGGCCGGGCGCGGTGGCTCATGCCTGTAATCCAGCACTTTGGGAGACCGAGGCGGGTAGATCATGAGGTCAGGAGTTCGAGACCTGCCTGGCCAAGATGGTGATACCCTGTCTCTACTAAAAATACAAAAATTAGCCAGGCACAGTGGTGGGCATCTATAATCCCAGCTACTTGGAAGTCTGAGGCAGAAGAATCGCTTGAACCTGGGAGGCAGAGGTTGCAGTGAGCCGAAATCCACAGCAGTCTAGCCTGGGCAACAGAGCAAGACTCTGTCTCAAGAAAAAAAAAAAAAGGTAATTAAAAAATGGAGGTGTAACATACTGTAAAATGTACTCATCCGAATTTTACCTATGTAAATGGTTGTGTAAACACCATAGTGATCAAGATTTGTACACTTCCAGAACCTTAAAAGTTTTCCTGTGGCTCCTTGCTAGTCAGTGTCCACTCTCCACTCTCAAAGTAATACTCTTGTGACCATTTGATTGGTATTACCTATTCCCGAAGCTCATGTACATTGAGCCATACAGTATCTGACTTTTTGTGCAACATAGTAACCGAGAGATTCATGCATTTTGTTGCATGCATTGGTAGTTTGTGCATTTATATGTTGTATAGATTCTTTTGTATTATGCCACAATTTTTCCATTTTCCTTTTGGTGGATATTTGGGTAGTTTCCACTTTGGGGCTGTTATGAATACAACCTCCATAAACATTCTTGTTTGTCTTTTTTTGTTTGTTTTTTCTACTTTTTTTTTTAAAATTACATTTTAGGTTTTGGGGTACATGTGAAGAACATGCAAGATTGTTGCATAGGTACACGCATGGCAGTGTGATGTGCTACCTTCCTCCCCATCACCTATATCTGGCATTTCTCCCCACGCTCTCTCTCCCCAATTCCCCACCCCCTGCTGTCCCTCCCCTATTTCCCCTCTACAGATCCCAGTGTGTGATGCTCCCCTCCCTGTGTCCATGTATTCTCATTGTTGAACACCCACCTGTGAGTGAGAACATGTGGTGTTTGATTTTCTGCCCTTGTGTCAGTTTGCTGAGAATGATGGTTTCCAGGTTCATCCATGTCCCTACAAAGGACACAAACTCATCGTTTTTGATGGCTACATAGTATTCCATGGTGTATATGTGCCACATTTTCCCTGTCCATTCTATCATCGATGGGCATTTGGGTTGGTTCCAGGTCTTTGCTATCGTTAACAGTGCTGCAATGAACATTCGTGTGCATGTGTCCTTATAGTAGAACGATTTATAATCATTTGGATATATACCCAGTAATGGGATTGCTGGGTCAAATGGAATTTCTATTTCTAGGTCCTTGAGGAATTGCCACACTGTCTTCCACAATGGTTGAACTAATTTACACTCCCGCCAACAGTGTAAAAGTGTTCCTATTTCTCCACATCCTCTCCAGCATCTGTTGTCTCCAGATTTTTTTAATGATTGCTATTCTAACTGGCATGAGGTGGTATCTCAATGTAGTTTTGATTTGCATTTCTCTAATGACCAGTGATGATGAGCATTTTTTCATATGTTTTTTGGCCTCTTGTTTATGTCTTTTAGTGGACATACACACACACGTCTATTGTGTATATGCCTGGAGATGGAATTGCTGGGTCATAGTAGAGGTGTAGTTATGTTAAGCTTTAGTAGATATTGCCAAACAGTGGTTGTATCAGTTTCCAATCTCACCAGCAGTGTACGGCAGTTCGGTTGCTCCACATCCTCTCGCTCGGTATTGTCATGGTATTGTCAGTGTTTTTCATCTTAGACATTCTGGTGCGAGTCTAATGATACTTCATTATGGTTTTAATTTGTATTGTCCCAATGATTAGAGATAATGAGAACCTTTTTTTGTTCTTTTGGCCATTTGGATATCCTTATTTGTGAAGTGCCTATTCAGATCCTTTGCCTATTTTTAGGAAAGTTGGGTTATTTGTCTTTTACTGATTTAGAGGATTTGATTATGTATTCTGAATGTGAGTCCTCTGTCAGACATGCATACATTAGTCCTCTCTTATCCAAGATTTCACTTTCTGTGGCTTTAGTTACCCACAATCAACCGTGGCCCAAAATATGAAATGGAAATTTCCAGGTGTGCACGTGTGCACACACACATAACAATACACCCCACTGCTGGGGTTCTGGCTGAGATCACCTTGAATCTTTAGATAAATTTGTGAAGAATTGACATTTTTATAATACTGAGGTTTAAAATCCATACATAGTATATTTCTCCGTTTAATTATTTTGAGATGGAGTTTTGCTCTGTTGCCCAGGTTGGAGCGCAGTGGTGCGATCTTGGCTCCTTTTCCTGGGTTCAAGCGATTCTCCTGCCTCAGCCTCCCAAGCAGCTGAGATTACAGGCCTCTGCCACCACACCTGGCTAATTTTTTTTATATTTTAGTAGTGATGTGGTTTCAATCATGTTGACCAGGCTGGTCTTGAACTCCTGACCTCCTCAGGTGATCTACCCACCTTGGCCTCCTAAAGCGCTGGCAGTACAGGCGTGAGCCACCGTGCCTAGCCTATTTCTCCATTTATTTAAGTCCTCTTTGATTTCTCATAGTGTTTTGTAGTTTTCAGTGCAGAGATTTTACACATGTTTTCCTAGGTTTTTATTTCTTAATTCTAATTGTAGATTCCTGTGGCTATTTTACATACATAATCACATCAGCTGTGAATGGATCCTGTTTTACTTCTTTCTTTTCATCCTTTGTGCCTTTTGGTTTTCTAGCCTTGTTGCACTAGCTGGGACCTTCAGTATAATGTTGAATAGAAGTAATTATTGTGGACATCTATATGTTTGAGATACATTGAATTTAAAGGAATTTGCTGTTTATGCAGAAGGAAACATGTGGACTTACCTACTTTAATTGTTGACTACTTTCACTTACTTTCCTAGGCATGGCTAATGTAAAAGCTGCCCCAAAGATAATTGACACAGGAGGAGGCTTCATTTTAGAAGAGGAAGAAGAAGAAGAACAAACAATTGGAAAAGTTGTTCATCAACCAGGTAAAGTGAGTTTTTCAAAAATAAGCATCTAGATTGGTTATTTTGAGTAACATGCATAATTCTATGCAAACTGATGCTAAATAAATGCCATACTTTAATCGGAGTACATTTGTGATAAAGTTTGGCAGTTTTGCTGATAGAGTTAAAAAACAAAGAAACAGCCATGCATGTGGAAATGATTATTTAACTTGTGGCTGATGCACTTAGGGTTTGATGCTCTCTGTTGTTTTATAAAAGGCAGGGTTAGCCAGTATATTGGCTGATAGAATAAATACTCAAAATTATCTTGATAGGACGAAATGAGGCACCAGAACTAAAGAGATAACATTTAGGACATTCTTTTATTTATCTGTGGAGAAAGAAAGCAGATTACAAAGTATAAGATAGACCAGCATAAAAAGAAAGCTATAACTATGATCTAAGGTTAGTGCTCTGGTAAATCACTTATATGTATACATATCTTCACAGTGAGGATACTTTCACACTCTTTGGGAAGAAAATAGAAATGCTTTATTTTGTTCATAAGTTTGGCAGCCAACAGTGCAATATAACAGCTTAAAAAAACCCACAAAACCCTATTCTAGTCTTTAGTTGCAGCTACAAAAGTGTTGTGCATCCATGTAGGTGGTTGCCCTGCTCTAATCTGTGTGTGCAGAAGCTGAGACTTGAAGGATTAAAATGTTTGTTTTATTTGCACCAGGGACTGGTTTCATGGAAGACAAAACCTGGGGTGGGGTGGAGGGGCAGCAGGTATGGTTTCAGCATGATTCAAGCACATTACGTTTTATTGTGTACTTTATTTCCATTATTATTACATTGTAATATATAATGAAATAATTACACAACTCTTGCTTATGGTAGATTGCCAGTTTCTGAGTGGTAGATGTAAAAGGGAGTGACAGAGTTTGAAAATCATCATTGTGTTTATTTAGGAGTTCCCATTATAAAGAATGTTTTAAATTAGAAAACTGTACATTGTATATGTTTTGATTAATGGTGCAGTAGCTTCCTAATTGGTATTTCTACCACAGTTTCTCTACATTCTAATGCATCCTGGTAATTTTTTCAAAGATACCGCTTTGATTATCACTAACCCTGTTCCAAAATTTTTAGTTTTTCCTTTTGTCTATAGCTGTGCTCCTCTTAATCTTCTACAAAAAACCTTTTTTTTTTTTTTTTAAAGTTTGGAGATTAGTGTGTTAGAAGGAGGTAAGGGAAGGCAGTGATAGGAATATTTTGAAATAAACAGTTAATAAATGACAACTCCCTTTATCTTGCCTTTTTTTTTTTTTTTTTTTGAGAGATGGAATTTTGCTCATGTTGCCCAGGCTGGAGTGCAGTGGCACGATCTTGGCTCACTGCAACCTCGGCCTCTGCAACCTCCGCCTCCCAGCTACAAATGATTCTCCTACTTCAGCCTCCCGAGTAGCTGGGATTATAGGCGCCCACCATCATGCTTAGCTAATTGATGCCTGGCTAATTTTTGTATTTTTTGTAGAGACAGGATTTTGCCATGATGGCCAGGCTGGTCTCGAACTCCTGGACTCAAGTGATCCACCCACCTTGGCCTCCCAAAGTGCTGGGATTAGAGGCACTAATCCCAAGTCACTGTGCCCAGCCTTACTAGTAAAATTTATAAAAGTACTAGGAGAAACAATTCTTAAAACTTCCTTAGCTAGGCATTTGAAGTCCTTAAATAACCTAGCTTTACCTTACTTAGAGTGGTTTTTCTGTGCTGGGAGTTGAGGATACATGGCTGAATACAGTCTCTCCCTTCAAGGAGTTTATAATCCAGTAGGTGAGACAGATAAAGAAGAAGCTATTTGCTTTGTTGGTAGGAGGTAGAATGAAGGAGAAAAAATTTTTCCATTTGGAAGTGAATTCTGTTGTTGTCTCTTTTCTACTATTACCATGCTCATTATTGCTCTTTCCCATGTAATGTTGGTGCCCTGTCTGTAAGGAGATCCCTTTTCACCCTACCACTCTGGGACTAATCTCTTTTGTATTTCAACAGTGCTGTTGTAGGCAGAATAATGGCCCCCAGGGATGTCAATGCCTTAATTACCCTGGAACCTATGAATATATTATCCTTATCATAGCAAAAAGGACTTTGCAGATATGATTAAGGTTAAAGACCTTGAGATGGGGAGATTATCCTGGGTTATCGAATGTACACACAAGTTTCCTTAGAAGTGGAAGAGGGGCCAGGCGAGGTAGCTCATGCCTGTAATCCCAGCACTTTGGTAGACCAAGGTGGGTGGATCACATGAGGTCAGGAGTTCGAGACCAACATGGCGAAACCCTGTCTCTAATAAAAATACAAAAATTAGGGCTGGGCATGGTGGCTCATGCCTGTAATCCCAACACTTTGATAGGCTGAGGCAGGTATATCACAAGGTCAGGAGTTCGAGACCAGCCTGGCCAACGTGGTGAAACCCCATCTCTACTAAAAATACAAAAATTAGCCTGACGTGATGGTGTGTGCCTGTAATCCCAGCTACTCAGGAGGCAAAGGCAGGAGAATCACTTGAACCTGGGAGGCGGAGGTTGCAGTGAGCCAAGATCGCACCACTGCGCTCCAGCCTGGGTGACAGAGCAAGCTAAACCACCCCCCCAAAACCCCAAAATTAGGCATGGTGGTGCACACCTGTAATCTCAGCTACTTGGGAGGCTGAGGCAGGAGAATCACTTGAATCCAGGAGGCAAGGGAGGCGGAGGTTACAGTGAGCCGAGATTCCATCACTGCACTCCAGCCTGTGCAACAGAGCAAGACTCTATCTCAAAACAAAACAAAACAAAACAAAAACAGAAGAGGAAAGCTGAGAGTCAGAGGGACGTGTATTATGGAAGAAGTGAGTGCTGCAATGTGAGAAGCCATCACTGCTGGCTGTGAAGATGGAGGAAGGGGTCATGAGTCAAGGAATGCAGGCAGCCTCTAGAAGCCAGAAAAGGCAAGCAGATGGATTCTTGCCTAGAGCCTCCAGAAAGGAATGCAGACCTGCCAACACCTTGATTTTAGCCCACTGAGACCCATGTCAGAATAGTCTAGAGATCTGTGTGATAATAAATGCATGTTTTAAGCCACTCAGTCAATGGTAGTTTCTTATAGCTGCAGTGTAACACTAATACAAGTACCTTGCACACAGCTGGGATTCAGAAATACTTATTGAATTGCTAAGTTTTTTTCTTTATGTTACATCCTTTTTTTTTCCTCTTTAAAAAATTGTTTTTATAGATAAGCATAATCAAGATCTTATTTGCTCTTTTACTTAAATATATTTATGGTAGGCGTAACATGCATGCTGATAAGCTAATAAGATAGAGGAGAATATATTGTTCTAGTCATAAAAAAGGAAACTTAGAGTTCATTTTCCTTTTCTTAGGACCTGTGATGGAATTTGATTATGTAATATGTGAAGAATGTGGGAAAGAATTTATGGATTCTTATCTTATGAACCACTTTGATTTGCCAACTTGTGATAACTGCAGGTACTTATTTTAGATGGTGTTCTTAATTGCCAATGTTTATGTGTAGGTTTAGGACAAAACAAGTTATATCTGTTTGGATGTGATATTTTCTTAATAATTACGATTTTTATTTTGGGCATTTCCTAAAATTTCTTTGGTTTCTACTTTACCAAATACAGTAGATCTGTGCTTATTAAAGCTTATGATATACCCCATAAAATAGGAAGGATGCCAGTGGTTCTGCCATATAAATTTCCTTTTCCCTTCTGGTGGCCTGAGTTTTTTTGTTTTTGTTTTTAAACATCTCTCAGTGGCAGACTCCTAACACTTCTCTTCTCCCAGCCCTAATGATCCCTCTATATCTTAATTATTCCAGGGTGTGTTTATACCTGGGTCAGAAGACTGGGGCCTTCAGTGAGAGGACAGTAGCTCATAATACCTTTTTTCATTCATCTTTTTCTACCCTCATAGATGAGGAAAAATCATATTCTTCCCTTCTTTTTCTTCTTCTAGACTTTATCCTCTTTTTATATCATCCACAATAACCTTTCTCAGTTCACATGGTTCTCCTGTCGCTACTGTTTACTCAGCCAAATGCTGTTGATGTCTTTTGCACACTGAAGGTCCTATCTTGGAATCTTAGTTGACCCTCTTATCTGTTCCCTGTTCTTACTTTGTCCCTACAGCCTTAAATCAGCTCCTCACCTGACTGAAGGACCTACCCTTTCAAAGTCCCTTCTGCAGACATTGGGAGCCATCATGATTGGCTTGTTGCTGAGTGGAATCTTCAGTAGATAGAGAGGGAGATGTGGTCCCTGGCCTCATGGTCAGATATACGGCTGGGAATGTTCTGGCACCGCAGCTGGAACTATAGATGACAAACTCATTTCCCACTGACACAGTGGTTAAGGTCCATAGTCTTGTCATCATTCTCCTTAAAGCCAGTATAGCTTTTGGGAACTGAAACACTCCATATAATTTATTTCCAAGATAAAATGGAAGCAGCCATTGTACCAGTTTAAAGAAAGTTGTGAATATATTACCTTGCCATAGCAAAAGGGACTTTGCAGATATGATTAATGTTAAAGACCTCAAGATGGGGAGATTACCCTGGGTTATCCAGGTAGACCCAATACAAGCACATGAGCTTTCTTAAAAGTGGAAGAGGAGAGCTGAGGGTCTGAGGGACATTCAATTATGGAAGAAGTGAGTGATGCAATATGAGAAGCCACCATCACTGGCTGTGAAAGCGGAAGGAGGGCGTCCTAAGTTAAGGAATGCAGGTGGCCTCCAGAAGCTAGAAAAGGCAAGGAGATGGATTCTTACCTAGTGCCTCCAGAAGGAACGCAGTCTCTGCCAACACCTTGAAAAGTCTGGAAACGTTACACTTTTATGTTTAATCATTATCAGGAACATAGTCCTCCATTCTTTTTCAACATCAAGATTATAGTTATAGTACAGTATAGTCTGCATGTCTCCCGTTAGTTTATACTTCTGAATTATTTAGCTTTCATACAGCTATTCCTAGTTTTAACTTTTATGGTTTTGTGACAGAATCCTCTGATAGAAACTTTGATTTCTCCCCTCCCTGACCTGTACCTGCTCTTTAGTGTTTACCATTTCAGTAAAGGCAGCTTCATTCACTGGCTGTGTCTCCACTCTCTTGTGTGTATTAATTCCAAACCTGTTTGGCTCTATGCTCAAACCATATCCTGAAAACATCTGCATCTCCTCCTCTTCCACTGCTGCCTTAGCCTAGGCCACCACCAGCTCTTGCCTGGACCACTGCAGTAGTGTTGTAACTGGTCTCTCCCCAACTACCCCTTTCACACCCCTAGGGTCTCCTCTTCATACAATATTTTGCTTAAAACTTGGTTTCTAATCCCATTTAGAATAAAATTTTCTTCACCATTGCTTGCAAGGCCGACTGTCTCTGACTGTATCTCCCACCACTCCTCACCATCACTTGTCTTCTAGTTACACTGGTCCCTTGCTGTGTGCTCCATTTGCAAAGTACACCCCTGCCGTAGAGCCTTTGTTAGGAATGTTTCTTCTCTAGATAATATAATTTATTAGAATAAGTAAAAGATAAAGTATTTTTCTGTTAGAATTCCTATGTTGCTAATTTAACCATGAGAGTTGCAGGAAAATGTATTATTTATGTGCTTTTTTGCTGTGGGTGCCCCTAAGTTGATGGGCTATTTGCAATTTATTTAAAATAACTAACTTATATAATAAACTTAATCTGTTTTCAGAGATGCTGATGATAAACACAAGCTTATCACTAAAACAGAGGCAAAACAAGAATATCTTCTGAAAGATTGTGATTTAGAAAAAAGAGAGCCAGCTCTTAAATTTATCGTGAAGAAGAATCCTCATCATTCACAATGGGGTGATATGAAACTATACTTAAAGTTACAGGTCTCTAATAAGTTGTATTTATTAATTTTAACTCTGGTAAAGTTTTAACAACAAACTAGTTATAATTAGTTTGGTTTTTGCTTACAGAGTGTGAAAAAACTCTTTCCCTAGTTTTGCATATGTGTGACAGTCATGCATAATGACATTTAGTAACATGTTTTCTCATTCATTTTTCAAATAAAATTTGAAATAAAATTTTACAAAAAAAGCAAAATGAGAAAACATGTTACTGTCATTATGCATGACTGTCACAGGTATGCTATCATTTTTTTGCGAAAGGTCTTACTCTGTCACTCAGGCTGGAATGAGGTCACAGCTCACTGCAGCCTTGACCTCTCCGGCTCAGGTAATCCTGCCTCAGCCTCCTGAGTAGCTTGGATTACAGGCACATGGCACCATACCTGGCTAGTTTTTGGTATTTTTTGTAGAGATGGGGTTTTGCCATATTGCCCAAGCTGGTCTCAAACTTCAGGGCTCATGTGATCCTCCTGCCTTGGCCTTCCAAAGTGCTGGGATTACAGGCGTGACCTGCCATGCCCGGCCTCATTTTGCTTCTGATATGGCACTTTGAAATAAACATGTTGCTATTGGGTGATGTTAAGAGTACAATTTGGAAACTAAAACAGGGCATGACTCCCATTCCAGCCTTTTTTAGTTTCCAAATTGTACTCTTAACATCACCCAATAGCAACATGCCTTCTTATCACTTGATGCTTTTATTTTATACTTAGTGAAATAGTGCCATTACTTTATTATGGATTTTTGTCATATATCACAACTTTTGCATACGTAAAAGGGAAAATGCAAGTGCAAAAAGACTTAGTAAGGTATTCCTAAACTTCTTTACATTGAGTTCAATTCTTCTGCACCACTTTTGGACTCAGAATTTTTAAGTACTTTGGTGAGGCAGCGTTTTCAGGGATGTTAAATTATGGAAAACATGATGTCCCAAAATCTATGAAATACAAGTATATCACTTGATTATGTTAAGAAATTTGAGTTTGGCTACACTGATTAATATTATGGTCCTTTTAACATATTGTGAGAGGTATCCTGGGCATAATTCTTAGTGTGTAAATTATTCTCTTAAAATGTAAGTAAATATTATAAAGAGTAAAGGAATATAATGTAAAGTTTTAAAAGTAGAATGAAGACTTTTATTTTGGTACCAAAATTAAAATAGATATCCTGCAGATCATAAGTCGATAGAAACAATTATTGATCTTGAAGGAGATGAGTAGTGGTAATTGGTAATTTCCTGTGGTTGGAGATTTTTGGAGATGACCTCATATTTAGGTCTGATTTGGCTAATCTGTCAACAAACTGTTTCTTTGGTGAGCCTGCCACAGTTGGTGAAACTCACTGACCACATGTACTTTTGATTCCTGTGACAATACAGTCAGAGGACAACTTTCCTATTTATAATGTAATTCAGCATACATTTACTGAGAGTTTTATAGGTTTAGATAGATGTTTTATTAGACTTGTTTCTGATCATTGCTATTTTAAATCTTTAAATTTCTAGTAAATAGTTATTAATTTATACTTAGATAATTCTTTGGTACCTGTGGATTTGATGATTATAACTTTATAATATTTTGCAAGTCTGAATCACAACTCATTTAAATGTGGATTTTGTGTTGTAGATTGTGAAGAGGTCTCTTGAAGTTTGGGGTAGTCAAGAAGCATTAGAAGAAGCAAAAGAAGTCCGACAGGAAAACCGAGAAAAAATGAAACAGAAGAAATTTGATAAAAAAGTAAAAGGTAAATGGCCACATTTTATATCATGAAGGATTGTGTTTTACCATTTCTCAAAAAGCCTTTAGCTAGATTCTTCCTGTTTAATGTCACCAATAGATTGGAATGTGATTTTTAGAGGATGATAATGACTTAAGTTTGCCCTCAGTATGTTGGTCTTTAAGGCACTCAGTTCAAACCTCACAGTACTACATTTCTGAAAAGATGTATGTCATCATCTTAAAGCGAATCGTGTTTTTATATAGAACAATGTGAGTATCAGGAGTGGTATCACTGGTCAAGGATTTGGCATCAATTAAATCTTAAGTATGATCATCAGTGTTATAAAAAACACCCACCAACAAACCTCTCTAAGTGCTTAAAGTGAAAAGCCATGCCCTAAGTCTTAGTTCTCTAATTCAGCAGCTAGAAGACCACTTTTATTTTACATATGACCAAAAGACCCAGAAAGGTGGGGTGACTTGTTACATAGTTGTTGGCAAAGTTGAGACTGGAACCGGGCTTTTTTGACTGAAAGTCTCCATGAAGTAGTCATTTCTCTATCCATGTGTCTGTCTCTGTATGCTTTCCCTTGTCCATCTATCTCTGCATTAATTTGTCCCTGTTATCCAACCATGTATGTACGTCTGTTAATTCTATCTTTTCATCCATCAATGCATCCAAAGTGTCAACTATGTGCCAGGCACTGTGCTAAAATAACATAAATGTTGGAGTCAGTGTTTGTCAGGAGGGAAACTTGAAATTGTCCAAATGTGCTAGGTACTGTGATAGTGATGAACATGCAGTGCTGCAGGATCACAGAGGTCACTTTCTGCTCTATCTCAGAACTGCTAAAAGTCTCAAAAAAGTAAACATAAATGTTCTTCATGCAGTAATTATGCAGAATCCCACTGTAGTGTACAGTTTGTAGAGATAACACATTTTGTGTATTTATTGGGTTTTTAATATACGGTATACTAAATTAATTCACTTAAAATGAACGTCCTGCCGGGTGTGGTGGTGCACACCTGTAATCCCAGCACTTTGGGAGCCAAGGCAGGCGGATCATGAGGTCAAGAGATCGAGACCATCCTGACCAACGTGGTGAAACCCCATTTCTATTAAAAAATACAAAATTAGTTGGGCTTGGTGGTATGTGCCTGTAGTACCAGCTACTCAGGAAGCTGAAGCAGGAGAATCGCTTGAACCCAGGAGGCAGAGGTTGCAGTGAGCTGAGACCCTGCCACTACAGTCCAGCCTGGGTGACAGAGTGAGACTCCATCTCAAAAAAAAAAAAAAAAAGTCCTACCATAAAATTTTGCTTTTGTTTTTAGGATTCAGAAGTGGTTTTGGAGGGTGAATAAGATAACTCAGATATCTTAAACACAAAAACACAAAACCAAAAATTGAATGTAAGCCTTCCTTGTTGTGAGGAACACAAGTTGTTGTTGTAATCCTTGTCACTTGGAGGATTTATTTTTCCTTTGTCATTACAATTGTAATTCAATTAGTGCAGAAAAGTTAAGAGATTTACAGAGAACCCTTACTGCATGATTTTCCTAAGAGACAGTCATCAGCAGCACTTTTTTTTTACTCTTCCTGTGCTTTTCTATGTTAAGACCCTTAAAAATTTTTTAAATAAAAATGGAAGCACTATTTGACACAAAGTTTAGCAAGCAACTCTATGATCAACATCGTTATATAGATCTTTTTATATAGTTACTTAGCAATCCCTAAATCACTAGGTAAGGCACACTTTCATGGCTTTTGTAGAGAGGTTTCCTATAGCAAGTTATGCCATGTAAGAGCATTTCATTAAAGAACCTTCCCAAAATTAGCCACTGCTGTACTGAGAGGATTTGAAAAGAGTTCTTTTGAATTTAGCCCTTTAATCTTTTCACTGCCCCACACCAGTCCTTCTCTTCCAGTAGCAAGGAGAACCTTGAAAGACAAAGTAGTGAAAAGGCATTTTAAGAGGTGTGAAATGGTGGACAGAGTTATAGATTAGTTATATACTAGCCTAGGTTTTTTTGTTAATTCCAGCTACCTGAAATCACTTCAACTCTTGATTCTCTGCTGCCTCCTTAACCACTTCCAGGTGGTATTTTGGTGCAGATAATAATATATAGATAAAATAGTATTAATTAAAAACCTGTATCTGCAAAGTGGTGAGGTATTTTTTAGAAGGAGGGCTGTCTGTACTTTTTTCTTAGATACTAATTCTGTAGTTTGGTTACAGTGTCATCTAATGGTAACTAAATTCCTGTAATTTGACTAGCAGATTGAAAGATGATGGCATCCATTTCATCACATACTTTTTTCTATAAAAATTCTATGCGGCATATATATTATTAGTATGAACAGAACTCTTAAAAAAGATTTAGGTTTTATTGGTATTACTTTATAAAGAAAGATATGAACTTTACAATTGGCTTTTTTTCTCATTACATTAAATTGCTGCTATTAATCACCAGATAAGCTACTGTCAATTGTCCTCATTTTTGAAGAGTTTGAGCTTGCCCTGAAGCTCAGACTTTTCACAGAGTTAGACCTTTTGGGTCTTGTTTCTTTATTTCAGTTCGCTTTTTATTTGAATGAAGCATGTCTTTTGAGAATATTTTCCCAAGTGGTAACATGAGTGATATATTTTCCAAGTCTCTGTAAATAGAAATGTTTTTCTAAGTTGTTTCTCAGTTCAGTAACATTCCTCCATGGTCTTCTGGTGTTTAATGTGCAGAGAGGTCAGTGTGATGCCTTCTTTAATTATGGCTTCTTGTTGATTTACTTTAGAAGTTGTTCCTGCCTTCCTGAATAGGCCACAAAGGGCTGAGATTGGAGTAGACACTGTAGAGATTAGACACAAGAAGCTTACTGTGCAGTTTTCTCACAAGGCTCAGAACAGAGAGGAATAAAAGCAAGTCTAAAAGTATTTTAGTTGAAAAGAAATTGGAACCTGGTTCCTCTTGGTCTTCTGATTTTGATCCACAAAGAAGCTGACACAGTTTACTTCTTTCTGGGAAGGTAAGAGATTATATTTACCTGCTTTTAAAATATATCTTCTACTTTAGCAGTTTGAGAATTTATCTTACTACAAAAAGAATTTTACAGTTGAAATAGTATATGTATATATATATGTGTGTATATATATATATATATCTGTATTTATATATCTGTAGATACATAAAAATAAGGTGAAAGACAAGAGTTTTCTTGTTAGTGAATTCAAATTGTTACAGATTTTAGATATAAGAAGGCAGAACTGCTATCCAGTCTTTTAACTGCTATCAAAACTCTGTATCAAAATATTCAAAGAACCTATTGAAATTTGGAAAGAGTTCTTTTGAATTTGACCCTTTTCTTTAATCTTTTCAATGCCCTACACCAGTCCTTCTCTTCCAGTAGCAAGGAGCCTTGAAAGAAGTAGCAAACAGGCATCTTAAGGAATATACATTACAGAAATGAGTTATAGATTATAGAAATCAGTTTTGATTTCAAAACTTCAGTATGCACTGGCCTTGATATTAGACGGGAACATTCAGCTGGTTCAAATGTACAGAACGTTTTGGGTTTGCTTGCCAACTCTATAAATAAGGTAGAGTTAAAGCTTTTCTTTTGTTATACTAGCTTTCTCTTATTTAGTACTGGTAGAGGTTACCCTTCTAAAAAGGAAAATTGATTTTCATTATTTATTACTATGTACTTTCCTCCCAAAAGAGGTAGGTAAGAAATTGGGGGACCCCAAGTTTGTAGGTTTTGTACATTTTGGGCCTGTGGTTATATTTATGACCCTTTGGGGTCATCTCTCAAGAGTTTGGGAGACTCAATTCTGTTTCTCTGCATTAGTTTATGGAGGAAAAACTAAGACCAAAGAGTCATTTTGTTATTGTGTTCTTTCCTTGTAATTCTTTTTCTCCTGTTAACAAGGGGCATCATGAGTCAATACCTCCTGCCCTGCCATAAAGTATTCAGAAGTATCTGGTCTCTCTCAGCTACTTGTCTAGTAAGTTTACCTCAGAAGCAAGCAGCATTGGGTTTCTCTGAATACAGACCACCTCTTTTGCAAAATCAAGATGTTAAAAACTGAATACAAGTTTTAGATTGGTATAAAATTTTCATTAAAAATGGTTTTAGGAGAAAATTATTTTGTATAAAAAGTGTAAGCAGTGTCTGAATATATTAGTAAGAAGACTGGTTACCATGAAAATTTTTATAAATTTCCACAAAAGGCAGTCCTTAGTTAATAGCTTCCAGCATTGTGAAATTCTAGGCCAGTGACTAGGAGGTTGTAATGTGGTGAACCACTATGTTGTCTCCAGCTTCAGTTAGGCTTTCAGCGCTGCGTAGGACCTGCACCCACCCAGGTTTCCTCAGCTCCACCAAAATCATTTCAGATCTACAGACCTTTTCCCACTCTAAGTGTTACCTTTCTTTTAAAACTACCTCCTTCTCATTCTTAGCAGTAGGTAGTTGATATCTGCTTTCCAAAGTTTTGTTAAATGAATTAATGTGAAAAAATTATTAATGTTAAGTTTTACCTGATGTTGACATTCGCCATATTTTTTTCTTTCACACACACATATTTTGCCAAGCCATGTAAGTTACTTGCAGACACTGTGATTTTTTTTTTTTTTTTTGAGGTGGAGTCTCGCTTCATTGTTAGGCTGGAGTGCAGTGTTGAGATCTTGGCTCGCTGCAACCTCCACCTCCCGAGTTCAAGCAATGATCCTGCCTCAGCCTCCCGAGTAGCTGGGTCTACAGGCATGTGCCACCACACCCTGCTAATTTTTGTATTTTTAGTAGAGATGGGGTTTTACCATGTTGGCCAGGATGGTCTTGATCTCCTGACCTCGTGATCTGCCCACCTTGGCCTCCCAAAGGACTGGGATTACAGGAGTGAGCCACCGTGCCAGGCCTGTGGGTCTTATAAATATTTCAGCATGTTTCTCCTCAAAACAGTGGCATTCGGCTGGGTGCAGTGGCTCATACCTGTAATCCCAGCACACTGGGAGGCCGAGGCGGGCAGATCATCTGAGGCCAGGAGTTCAAGACCAGCTTGGCCAATATGGTGAAACCTTGTTTCTACTAAAAATACAAAAATTAAAAATTAGCTGGGCATCGTGATGTGCGCCTGTAATCCCAGCTACTCAGGAGGCTGCAGCAGGAGAAATGCTTGAACGCGGGAAGCAGAGGTTGCAGTGAGCTGAGACTGCACCATTGCACTCCAGCCTGGGTGTCACAGCAAGACTCTGTCTTAAAAAGAAAAAAATGGCATTCTTCTATAGAACTAAAGATCAATGATCATAGTCAAGAATTTTAGCATTAATATAATGCTCCTGTCTTGCGCATAATTTAATATTTCCCAGTTGTTTTGGTGTCCTTTATAGCTGTTGGATCTAGGTACTATTCATGGATGATGCATATTGGTAGTTGCTTTGAAACTAGTCCCTCAGTCTGTCTTTCATGACATTTTGCAGTGCCCAGGCCAGCTGCTGTTCAGTGTGTCCATTTAGATTTGTTAGCTGCTTGTATCCTCATGGTTAGGCTCATGTCGAACGTTTTTGGTGGAAATACTTAAAAGGTGATGTGTTTGAGCACTTATCAATAGACACATGGTACCAGCTCTTTGAAGGGAGTGGTAGTTTGCTTAGTTAAACTGGTGTCTGCCAGGTATTTCCACTGTAGAGGTAGTCTTTATCCTTTGTAATTAGTGAGAAATCTAATACTATGTGAATATCTCATTCCTTACCTTTCACGCTGGTTTTAGTACACAGGGCTTAGTCTTACTTGAGTTGGTTATTATTTTGGTGGATATAAATGGTGATTTTCTATTTCTGTCACTTTCTACAATTGTTATTTGGGTTTTGGAAAAAAGAGTTTTTCTTCTTTTAAAAACTGATTTTTATTTTATTTTTTTAAGCATCAGCTGGACTCATGGTTTCTTATTCTGAAGTCAGTGTATTACAGTTCATTCTGGTCATTACTCATTTTGGTGTTCAAATTGTCCAAAATTTGGCCAGTAGAATCTCCTTCAAGCTAGCGCCTGTCTTTTTAAATTATTTTGTTTGGAAATAATTTCAAACTTATAAAAAATTGCAAGGATAATAATATAAAGGGCCACTTATATATCCTTTATCCAGATTACTTACTGTTAACACTTGATGCTATTCGCATCATTTGGATGCTCTTTCTATACGTATACAGTATTTTTTTCTGACCATTTAAGACTAAGTTGTTTATATCACTACCTTTTACCCATAAATATTAGTATATATTTCCTCATAGGGATATATATTCTGTTACATAACCAAAGTATATTGTTAACTTGAGCAAATTTAACATTTAGTGTTTATGTCTAATCTGTCCTCCATATTCTAGTTTTGTTAGTTGACTTAATGTTCTTTTTAGCGATTCCTTTCTAGAACAGAATTCAGTTCAGGATTGCGTGTATTGGCTTTAGAAAGTACCAAGTCTTTCTAAACTTTTATTCTGGGATATTTACATAGCCCATATTTTTTTTAAGACATTGACATTTTTGAAAAGTCTGCTTCCCTTGCCCTGCCTTTTAAAACATGCTTGTCACTTGGGGCAGTTTCTGGTGTGTCCTGCTGATTAGATGCAGGTTATGCATTTCAGGCCAGGGATAGTACGTAAGTGATGTGCTTTTCTCATGGCCTCGTATCTGGAGGCACTCATGTCTAAGCAGCCCTCAGTGGTAACTCTGATTTTTGATTTGGTAAGCAAAAAAAATTTGTATCCTCCTAGATTTAGTATCCATCGATGATTCTTGCTAGGACGTCTTTAGTATGATGGTTATAAGAACTGTCTTCTAATTCCAGCATTCCTTCTGCATTTAAGCAGTTGGCAGTCAACATTCTATAGCATCCTTTGCCCTACTTATTATTGATAAGGATTCATTAATTTGTTTTTCTCCAGTGGCTTTGGTTCATTTCTGTCCTTATTTTGGTGCTCAAATGGTCTGATTTGGCCTAGTGACTAGTTTTTTATCTTTTGACATGTCATTTAAAAATTTTTTTTTTACTTTTGAGACTGAGTCTAGCTCTGTCACCCAGGCTAGAGTGTAGTGGCACAATCTCAGCTCACTGCAACCTCCACCTCCCAGGTTCAAGCAATTCTCCTGTCTCAGTTTACCAAGTACGTGAGATTATAGGTGCATGGCACCATGCCCAGCTAATTTTTGTATTGTCAAGAGATGGGATTTCACTATATTAGCCAGGCTGGTCTCAAACTCCTGGCCTGAAGTGATCTACCCACCTTGGCCTCCTAAAGTGCTAGGATTACAGGCATGAGGCACCGTGCCCGGACTTAGGTCATTTCTTCAGCACTCCTTTCTGCTTTCTAGCACAACAATGTGTATCTGTATTTGTGTCTGTCTATAGATATATGTAAAGTAAACCTTGAGTTTACACTGATTGATACATCCAGTTCTAATCGGAAATTTCATGGTATTATGGATGACGAGAAACCTGGGTCCTGTTATCCTTACTATAGTGACTTGATCAAAGCCCTGTGACTAATTCCCATGACTGTTGCTGCCTCCTTTTCTGGAGGGAGCCCTTTTTCTTAGGCTCTCTCACTCTGCTGTGGATGCTTAGTTGCTCCAGTTAATGGCTTTAGGTCCAAATTGTTCAGAAAGGGAAAGGATGAAAAAAAGCCCAAACCTATTTATTTTTAAATACTTTTTTTTTTTTTTATTTGAGACAGTTTGTCACCTAGGCTGGAGTGCAGTGGTGCAGTCATGGCTCATGGCGGCCTCAACCTCCATGGCTTAAGTGATCCTCCTACTTCAGTCTCCTGAGTAAGTGCGACTACAGGCACGTGCCACTGTGGCTGGCTAATTAAAAAAAATTTTTTTTGTAGAGATGGGGGTTTCACTATGTTGCCCTGGCTGGTCTTGAACTCTTGGGCTCAGGTGATCCTCCAAAGTGCTGGGATTACAGGCATGAGCCACTGCACCTGGCCCCAAATACTTCCTTTCTGGCACAAGTTTTTCCAGGAATGTCTAGTAAATATTAAACATATGGCTTTATTCTTATTATATAGCCTGACACAACAGCTGAAGAATGGGGAGAAAAAGTCAAAGTCAATGTAAAACCTTGGGTTCAATTATGGCTAGAAAGACCGATTTTGACTACAAGTATTTTTTTTTTAGTATTCAGAAAACTTTTCTTTGGTACCTCTTTTTAAGTACACATGACATATTCAAATTAGGCAGAAAAGTTAGTTGGCATGATTGGGCTGCAGTGAAATTTTGTAGGATTTTCAGTGGGATAATCATGCCAAGATGTCTTGCATGAGAACAAAGTTGAAAAGCACGTATTAGAATTGAAGTAGGCAACATCTTCCTTAAATTATCTGAAACCAGGAGGCATCTGTGGAGTTTTGGTTAGCATATCATTTACGTCTTATTTAGAAAATAGCCTAAGGTAAAATTTAAAGGAAGGAGGGCATTCCAGATCTATATACAGAAAAACCAATGTCTTCAGAACAGTAGGAGGATACTGACAGAAATCAGAGGTTTGGATGTTTTTCTTCTAGGCCCAAAACTATGTACAGGTATGTGCACTGAAATAAACTCAAAGTATTTATCATGCCAGAGGTATCCGTCAACATATAACACAACCTTGGGCAGCTTATAATTTCTCTGTGCTTTGGTTTTCTCATCTTTAAAATTGGAATAATTCTACTTACCTTAAAGGTTTGTGAGGATTAAATGCATTTAAAATGGTAAGAACAGTGCCTTATACATAGCCCTGTGTTTGTTTTCATCCTCATGATATCATAACAGCTGAAAATACAAAGATTCAAGTAGTATTCTGATACTACTTATAGATCTAAAATGGATTAGGGAGAATATGTGATTACTTGGTGTATGTGGATTTTTATGGCTGAGATTATAAAAGATAGCTATCATACTCTCCCTTAGGTGATGCCATTGTCAAAGATGATGAACGGGGTGGATCACTGGTGAGATCAGAAATGTAAAGTGTTGCTTTTTATTCATTAATCTAGAAACTAAGAAGTTACTAGATCGTTAATTTTAAGTTAGCACTAAGTTAAGGTAATAGGCAGTGTAAACTTTTTTTTTTTTTTTTTTTTTTTTTTTTTTTTTGCGATGGAGTCTTGCTCTGTAGCCAGGCTGGAGCACAGTGGCGCAGTCTTGGCTCACTGCAACCACGGCCTCCTGGGTTCAAGCAATTCTTCCACCTCAGCCTCCCAAGTAGCTGGGACTACAGGCACGTGCCAAACACCCAATTAATTTTTGTATTTTTAGTAGAGACAGGGTTTCACCATGTTGGCCAGGATGGTCTTGACCTCTTGACCTCGTGATCCACCTGCCTCGGCCTCCCAAAGTGCTGGGATTGGAAGTGTAAACTTTTAAAATATGATTTACTTGGTTGCTTTCAAAGAACCCAATATAATTTTCTTTGTAAAATGATTTTGACATGAAGTAGCAGAAAAAGCTCCAAACTTAGAATATGACCAATGTTCTGGCTTCCCAGTTGGAAGTAAAATTAAAACTCTATGGTTCTTTCCAACTCTTAATATACTGTGATTATTTTTAGCCCTCTCCTAAAATAATGCTGTCATTTTATAAAAACTTCAATAGATTTGAGGTCTGTTACACAAGCACCTTTTCTCACATGAAAACACATCAGCATAGTGGTAAGAGTTCTCAACTTTCTAGTTTTCTTGCAGGCAAAGCTTGACTACCTGATGGTTATAGACATAGGTTCTGACAGGAACTTAGTAATACCGCTTTTTAAAATTATTTCAACTGACTCCTTTTCCTACTGTGGCATTGTTATGTGAAGTCAAATGTACCTGAATGTGTCCTATTCTGTTACTCAACTCACTTCTGAATTTGATTCTATTTTGCTTACCTCCAACCTACATAACCATTCTGAATCTCGTTTCACACTGCTCCAGTGACAACTTAATTCATAGACCAAGCTAGTGAGGTAAGAAAGTAAACTTCCCAAGTTTATATAATAAACTCTGATTTGTTATAAAATTAAGGTAAACTACATATGGTTTAAATACACATAGACACACACACGTACACGGCTGAAAGCTTGATGGATTTTTGGATTCGGTTGAATAGCACCACTGAAAAGATGACTTTTTAATTTTTTTCTTAGAATTGCGGCGAGCAGTAAGAAGCAGCGTGTGGAAAAGAGAGACGATTGTTCATCAACATGAGTATGGACCAGAAGAAAACCTAGAAGACGACATGTACCGGAAGACTTGTACTATGTGTGGCCATGAACTGACATATGAAAAAATGTGATTTTTAGTTCAGTAACCTGTTTTATAGAATTATACATTTAAATAAAGGAAATTAAGATTGGTCCTATTCAAAATTTAAGAAAATGCAATGTCTTCAAAGATGAATGAAACCTTTATATAAGTAATGCTTCAGGAACAATTATGTATGTTACTGCTTAAAAGCAAGTTTGAGTGAAGGTCCACCTGGCCTGGCTGTGTGCAGAATGTCATGTCTGTGATTGTTTTCTTACAACCAGGGATGGGAGCTGAGTGCTAGAGTAGGCGCAAAAGTGGTAGGTCAGCTACAAATTTGAGGACAAGATACCAAAACAAACCGTATAGACTTTGGTACAGGGAAAAGCTTTCAAAAAAGACCGTAGCCAGCTGAACTGGATTCTTAACCAGGAAACAAATAGCAATGGTGGTGTACCACTGTACCCAGGTTCTGGTCATGTTTTTTTAGGACAATTTCTGTCTCCACGATGGCGGAAACAGTGGGGAACTATTGCTGGGAAACGCCCTGATAAATAGCAGAAATAAAACGTTGGAGTTTGATCATGTAACCGCTAGTTAATGAGCATATATTATCGAGGCCACTATATTACAGAAAATAGATTTGTCTAGTTAAGGGATGCTTCTATTGACTCTCTACCCTTATCAGTTTAAGACAATCCTAGTATTCAGACATCACTAACAGCTAAATCTGCTCTACCTAGGTTGGCAAGGTCCCTTCCTCATCTTTCATTTTCAAGTATAATTATAAATTAGGAAAACAGTTATGTTTACTTTGAGAAAAGCATGTTAAATTGCATCAGTACAATTTAACAAAATATTTATTGCAAGGTATGACATACAGTGACATGCCTGCCATCTTTTGTCTGTGTGAACTTCATCAGTGGGGACAGCAACTGCTGAATGTTTGCTCTTACACCTTTGTTTCTTCAAAACTCAATTCCTAGTTCAGTTTTTCTATACACTTAAGCTGCTAGACTGGGACAGAACAGGATCACATCAGCGAATAGTTGTTAAAAGCAACCATTATACATGAAGAGAGGACCAAGAAAAAAAATTAAAACCTACAAATTTCTGTAGAATGTGGATCAAACATAACTAGCCACACTTTTCAGTACATTGTGAAAAAAGATTACAAAGCAGTTTAGACTCAAAGTTACCAATGCCTTAAAGGTTAGTTATCCTTTGGTTTTCTGAGGACAGGAGTCATTTCAAACTACAGTTGACCCTTCAACAACATGGGGTTAGGGATGCCGACACCCCGCACAGTCAAAAATCTGCATGTAACTTTCTACTCCCCCAAAACTTAATCACCAATAACCCAATGCTGAATGGAGACAGACCGATAACAAACAATTAACTCATTTTGTGTGTTATATGCTATATTCTTATAAATAAGATAGAGAAAAGAAAATAAAAATATATTTACTATTTAATTAGTGGATCATCATAAAGGTCTTCATCCTCGTCATCTTCATGTTGAGTAGGCTGAGGAAGACAATGGGTTGGTCTTGCCATCTCAGGGGTGGAAGAAAACCCGTGTGTAAGTGGACCCACACAGTTCAAACCTATGTTGTTCAAGGGTCAACTGTAATTACATATAATTACATAGTTTGTGCTGTGCTTAAGCAATGGGAAGGAGAAACAGTATAAACGAGAATACTTAGCCAAGAACCTAGGTTTCAGTCCTCTAGTAACCCGCCAGGCAACCTGGATTTTTCTGAATAATTGCTTTGTATTTTGTCTTAAATAGTATAGTATTTAAAAACCCTAGGAATTCCCATCTATTAAAGTGCACTACATTCTGTAGCCACTAAAATGGATGGTAAACCAAAGCAAAAATACATCAAAATATGGAAAACGCTTAATGCATCATAAACTTGAAATGTAATAAGAGAAAAATTATATCTTTTGTGCAAATGCACAAATACACTACCAGTAGTTGTACTGGTAATTTTTTTCTAAGGTTTAATGAAAAAAGTCTTAATAATACTAGAAATTTGGAATGTCAGATAATTCCTTATACTTGCATATTATTTTACAACCCACTGTCATCTTATTTCAGCATCAACACCACAGGAAACAAGCTAAGGACTTCGTAGTTTTTTGGACCAGGTTCCATAGAAACAAAATCTGAACTCACCTTCAATTCCAGATACAGTTTCAGTCAATCTGACCACTTCTATGTCCACTTTAGTATTCCGTAACTCACTACAAGACCTTGGACAAACCCAGAGGCTAGAGGAAGTCAGTAGATGCTCTAAGATAATGGTGACCAAACCTGGAATCACGTGGAGGAACTTTAAGGATTACTAAGGATGTCTGTGTTCCACCCTCAGATTGTGGTTTAATTTCAAAATAACTTGAAAGATTCCCAGCTGATTTACATTCAGACAAATCTGAGAACTACTGTTCCAACTCATGTAACACTTATACTAACAAGTTGTGTCTTAAGATACTACTTAAAAATATTTTGAACAGATTTTGTAAAGAAAATTTCAAATGGAGAACACCTTCAGTAAGAAACCACCAGTTTAAGACAAAAAAAAAAAAAAAAAAAAAAAGGAAACAAACCCTACCAGTTTTAGAGATTATAAATCATGAAGTGCCAAAGTTTAAAAACCATACTTTTAGTTTTATTTCAGCCATGTTATCCCCAAGCTGTGAAAAGTTATACTACTGAGTAAACCCATCAGTTCTATATACTATGTAAGGTTGACCTCTACTGTTTCACATACCTCACACCAGTTATTTTGTGCCTTAAGAAGAAAAAAATACCAAACCGATCACAGAAAAGTCGTATCTGTCACATATAGAATACATCATGGTCATCGTCACATTACTGTCGTAGGACGTATTTGCTTTTCAGGGCAATTAAAAGTAATGCCATGTTATTCACTGCCCTCTTTTCCTTTTTTTCCTTTAAGAAGTGAAAGGATACTACAAGAAAGCAAGCATTCAAACCATCAAAAAATAAGAAATTATTTTAAGATATTAAAAAAAAAATCTTGACATGAGGGGAAAAACGACCCTTAGGCCTGCAGGGCACAGAACTGCTGGAACACGGCCAAAATATGAGGGTCTAATTCAGCTGTGAAGAGAAGGTTCTCCAGGGTCACCATGTACTGCTGGATTATCTGGTGATGCTGTGGACACAGAAAAGGGGGTAGTTAGGTCAGGAAAAAGCATGTAAGCTATCTAGTTGAACACTTCTTTCAACAGCCCTCCCATGCTGCAGCATGATGAGAAGAGGTAGGGGGAAAAAAAAAAAAGTGCTGACAGGAATAATGGACTGCTGAAAATCCCCAATTTTTTGCATTTCCCTTTTTATTTTATGTTATTAAAAAAAATAAAAAGGGAAATGCAAAAAAATGGATGCTCAAGAGATTTTTAAAAATCCAGTTCTCAGCTACTCGGGAGGCTGAGGCAGGAAAATCGCTGAGTAGAGATCGCGCCACTGCACTCCAGCTCAGATAACAGCATGAGACTCTGTCTCAGAAAAACAATAAAAATCCAATTGTTACCAACTTCTGTGTAAACAGAATTCATGATTCAATGAATGTCCTGATTGGGGAGAGAGCCAGCTGAGCCTAGTCTGCCACGTTGCAGTGGCAGCAATGCCTGCTTGCTGCTAATACTACTGCAGACTAGGCTCAGCTGGCTCTCCCCCCAATCAGGACATAATACATTATGACTTTTTAAAAAGCAGCCAGACAGGGACTGACAGGAAGATAAAAAGAGTCAGAAAATGAAATACTCTATTGATTTACTTTTTTTTGAGACAGTCTTGCTCTGTTGCCCAGGCTGGAGTGCCTTGGTCTGATCTCGGCTAAGTGCAACCTCCGCCTCCCAGGTTCACGCGATTCTCCTGCCTTAGCCTCCCAAGTAGTTGGGATTACAGGCGCCCACCACCATGCCTGGCTAATTTCTGTATTTTTCGTACAGATAAGGTTTCACCATGTTGGTTAGTGCTGAGATTACAGGCGTGAGCAAAAGTGTTCAGCCTGAAATACTCTGTGTGTTCCTCTATAAGCCATTAATATACTCAGAAATTCTTATAGGACTAGACACTGGGAAAGCTTTTAAAACTGGCAGTAACTGGCCAAGCGCAGTGGCTCACACCTATAATCCCAGCACTTTGGGAGGCCGAGGCAGGTGGATCACCTGAGGTCGGGAGTTCGAGACCAGCCAGACAAACATGGAGAAACCCCGTCTCTACTAAAAATACAAAATTAGTTGGGCATGGTGGTGTATGACTGCAATCCCAGCTACTTGGGAGGCTGAGGCAGGAGAATCACTTGAACCCATGAGGTGGAGGTTGCAGTGAGCCAAGATTGCACCATTGCACTACAGCCTGGGCAACAAGAGAAAAACTCCATCTTAAACAAAAACCCCCAAAATTGGCAGTAATATAAAATCAGGAATTCCTAAATAAATAAAAAATAGGGAATTCTGATTTGGAGGCTCAAAGAATTGAACTTAAAAAAAGGGGGGAAGGGATAGCATTAGGACAAATACCTAATGTAGATGACAGGGTGATGGATGCGGCAAACCACTGTGGCATGTGTATACCTATGTAATAAACCTGTACATTCTGCACATGTACCCCAGAATTTAAAGTATAATAAAAAAGAAATTTAAAAAATGAATTCTACATTAATCATTCTCCTAGAATGAACAAATGAAGACTTAAGGGAGTAGCGTCTTAAGACACAATTAGTTCCACTTCCCTATATATCTTTAACTTAAATCTGGGTGAGAATAGGTGCTGGCATTTGCTTTTGCAGACAGACCCTAGGGAGCTTACCTTGATTCTGTGGACGCTGTTTATCATCTGAACACTGGATTTTTAGGGACTTATAAATCCAATGACTGTACTCTTGACATTTTTGTCTTCTATATTTTATATTATAGCTAGGATCCCTAGCATAGAAAATGGCAAGTAGGAGACTGGGCACTGTGGCTCATGCCTGTAATCCCAGCAGCACTTTGGTAGGCCGAGGCAGACCACCTGAGGTCAGGAGTTTAAGACAAGCCTTGACAACATGGTGAAACTCTGTCCCTACTAAAAATACAAAAATCAGGAGTAGTGACAGGCGCCTGTAATCCCATCAATATGGGAAGCTGAATGAGGAGAACTGCTTAAACCTGGGAGGTGGAGGTTGCAGTGACCTGAGATTGTGTCACTGCACTCTAGTCTGGGCAACAGAGTGAGACTCCATCTTAAAAAAAAAAAGCAAGGTGGGGAGAGGCATTAGGAATCTAAGTGGTATAGAATCAGTTTAAGCCTAAATATTCTGATGAGCAATGGTAGCTGCAAATGGACATGAACTAAAGGGTCTAACAGGTACTATGTAACCTCCTAACAAATTTGACAAGGATTGTTTTCAAATCAAAAATCTTTGTTGCTGAGAATAGTGCCGTTTATTATCTAATTGAAGTTCCCCATGTACCTGTAGGAAGATCTGCTGCAGCCTCTCTATACAGTTCTTATACCATGGTGTTAATACACTGGTCCCATCAGTTTCGCATCGTACTAAGTGCTCAGTCAAGATCATGATAAACCGCTGGAAAGGGAGAAGGAAATTAAGGTAATACTAGAGATAGAATCTTATACTTCGGAAAAAAAATTAATGACAAAGAAACCCCAAACTACTGCTCATTCCACCCTGTCTTTGTGGTGTGTGCTCCTAACTTTCATTATTCATTAAGTCAATCTAGAAAGGCAGACTGGTAATAACATGAGTTGGTACATAGTTCCTGGCAATACATAAAGACCTTTAATGTCTTAAATTACTTATCCTAGTAATATTACTTCCTGACATCTAACAAAATAATCAGAAATGTTAATAGGAATCTATGCATCAAAATGTTCATGGAAAAAAAATGATCAGCAAAGAGAATAATTAAATGAGATGTATTTAACAAAAGCAACCCACAATTTTGTTTTAAAGCATGGAGAAATGCTCATGCAAGAATGTAAACAGCAGAGAAACTCAGAGACATACATGGCTGCCTGAGTAGTGAACTTTTATTTACTTCCAAATTTTTATATTTTTAATCTCTTCTATAAATGTGTATTCCTTTTACAATTAAAAATAGTATTTTTAAAAACTAAAACTAAGGAAATGTATTGTTTCCTTTTATGCATAAATGTCCCAAGCCAAGATACCTGAAATATGACGAGGAAGAGATTCTTTTGTTCACTCTGAGCAGATTCCACTTTTTCCTGAAGTCTTTCTATTTGTTCCTCAAGAGCCCCATCTTTCCTATCACTGCTTCTGTCATCATCATCACTTCGCTACACAAGGCAAGAGAACAAAAGGAAAATACCATTTAGAATTCCAGTGTATGAAATCCCCTCCAGGGGAAGGAATTTATTATGGCTGGCCAAATGTTAAAGGCTTATTATATTCTGTAGTAAAAGTACCCCCAACCCCGCCACCCACACATATATACTTCAAAGTCCTGTTGTGGTTCAGAAATACTGTCTTCTCACTTAGAAATTCCATGGGTTCTTATCTAGGACAGGGAAATTTCGTGGCACTTTTCTCGGTAACAACGTGGGGGACTTGGCTATAATCTATAATCTATCACTATTTGACTGAGTAGTAAAAACAAAGAGGCAGCTTCCTAATCATTCATCTCCTAATGGGCCATATAAAAAAACTGGGCCAGTCCTATGCATCAAGGCTGCTCATTCTTGCCATAATTTAGAAATGGCTACATAGTTTAGAAATGACATACAATAATTCAAAGTGGCTGTTTAACACTTTCTGCTGGCAATGATGGGGGTTCAATATATTTCTGTAAAGCTTTAGTAATTCCCTCCTAGCTCACTCTGAAGAGTTTATAGCATTTTGATTTTTTTTTTTTTTAAAGGAAAAGAAAAACATGGCATGGTTTACTTCCATTTTACAGAGAAGGGAACAGGCTGAGAGGTTAGATGACTTTTCCAGTACCACCCAGCCTGAAAGTGGCAGAGCCAGAATGTGGCTCTAGGTATTACATACCAAGGTACTTTCAGCAAGAAGGTGGCATCACTGAAACTAGAAAGCCGGGAAATTCTTTGAGGTGATACTTACCGTAAGGGCCCATCTACTGGTCTCCTCTACGCTTTAAGCAAAATGATCAGAACCCCATTCTCGGATTTCATAGAATCTTGCTTTTCTCTCTATAAACACAGCCCCTGTTTATGAAGTCTGCTTTATGTTCTAGAAACTTGGGTACATGACTGTCTTTTCCTAACACCACTCTAAGGTAAGGTTCTAGAGCACTACTACCTAACCTTTCTTCAGTGGGGCAAACGTTATATAAATATGTGCAGCCTCTTACAACAGCCACCACGTTACTACTTAGCACCTGAAATGTGGCTGTGTGACCAAAAAACTGAATTTTAAATTGTATTTAATTTTAATTAAACTAAAATGGTCACATGCAGCTAGTGGCTACTGGGTTGGACAGCACATTTCTGAAACAGCGTGGCACGAGAGAAAGTCTCTGGAGTCTGACAGACCTGGGTCAGAACCTAGCTCAGTCATTTACTAGCTATGCAACCTACTAGCTATGTTACTTAATTTCCCTGT